TCAAGGTCACCGGGGACGGCCACAATGGTTGGCGCGATTAGACAGCTCGTCTGCGCGTGCCCCAAACGGCCTGGACCCCCGCTGTACGCGTGCCCATGCTTTTCGGAATTTAGCGGAAACCAGGGTGACGCGCCAGTTACATTGTGGAGTCACTACAGTTAAGTTGGGGGACAAACTATCTCCTCGGCTGAAAACCATCAAAACCGCTCGGCGTCTGAAAGACGAACCAGCTAGTGGGGTTTGGCCAGCATGACCAAATATGCTTGGCTTGTAGTCCTTAGACAAACCTTGTGAATTTCGGTTATTGTTAGATAATGCTCTATGTAGAGTTTCCTCTGCTTTAAAATACATTCGAATTTTCTAATTTACCAGAAACCGCACCAGGAAACAAGGTTTTCAAACTTCACATCTTTCCGACACTTTCTCAGCCAGCCAGTTGGATTCTGTCGTGGACTGGTGACTGGAGGGATAATTACAAAACGGACAACTGTCCGTAGTTGGGAATTTATGCAGTCCGTGAAGCGTGAGGCAGACTAGGAGAGGTGGGGTCAATATGCATAATTTCGCGGACGAGTGACTTGGGTCAATTAAATTCTCTCCAAATTGTAAGCAGACGTCTGACTGAATGAAAACTGAGAGATAAGAGCTTCAGGGACTACAAGAAGTGGCAGTGGCCACTGGTGAAGCCAGGGTTGGTGTTGACTGCGTCCAGTCACGCCGAAGAGTCCGTGGGACAGTGGTGGCAACCGTTTTTGTGGGCTCGTGTGTCAGGTTCAGGTGGTGTCTAGTCAGTGTATGTTACATTTGCCGAGGGGTGGTGTCCTGCTGGCTTAGGTTGCGATAGCAGGAGGGAGGTGCATTCAAGTGGCCTCATGGGCAGCTGCGGCCGTGCGGACGCAGGTATGCCCGAGCGGTTGGTCGTGTGACTTCAGGTCAGCGCGTCTGGAACGGCTCACTACAAAAGGGTGAATGACCTTGAGGCAGCGAGGTCGTGAACAATGACTCCAGACCGGTCATGATGGCTGCCCGCTACACGAGCTTCAGGGACTGCAAGAAGTCCCCTTGTGCTCACAGTTATTTGGGGGGTATTTGTGGTCTTAGCACTTTGTAGGTCGACTAGAAAGCTCCCTATTCCTTCGTTTGTTGGCAGGTACCTACTACCTTGAGGGTTAGACGCGTAAGGGTCTATGCTTCTTTTGTCACTCTGAGGGAGCAAATACTTGTTTAACCAATGCAATTCTCCCCGCAAAAGCAGTTAAACGGCCGCAGATCAACAGAAGCAGAATGGATCGTCAGGCCAATTCTGCGTGGAAATAGCGGAGACAGTGTAGTCGAAATCCATGCTAGTTACTTTTGGCCACCTGGTTTCATGCAGAAGAGAAATCTATTCATTTGTCCCATTGTTGTTTGCACACCTTCTCGATGAACCAGGTTGTGTTTTTGTCAGCTAATTTGTCACCTTGAAGCACCATTAATTAACTCCTGCTTTATAGTTTCACCAGGTAGCGCACAACTACCTATCTGTTCATTGGGTTGTGTACCAAAGAAAAAACTGAACCTTAAAAAGGCATCACTGTATCAACCGCTTAAGCACGACGTTGATAATATCTCTTTAACGCTGCACATTCTGGCGTTCTAACAGAAGTTGACATTTTCCACAAGGTCCCATTCGTGAACAGTCAGACGAAAGATATCCTGAAAAGTTTTGTGTTCTACTGCTGAGGACGGGTATACGGCATGGTTACAAGAGACTAAAGCAACTGGTCATACGGCCTGCGGCTTTAAGGCAGATTTTCGAAGGAGGAATTATGTCATCGCGGAATTCAAATATCAACTGGCACCTGCCGCTCGCCCAACTTGACAGCAACCAAATTTTATTTTAAGGATGTTTAAAGAAGCAGGCCTACGGCAATCAGTCAGGAGCTATTCAGCAGCTAAAGAACAAGGCTCAGGAATAAATGTACGTTATGCAGTCGGATATGTCAAGGACGAGTGTAAGGTGTACGGATGTCTATTTATAGTAGGTGGGCTAACTTATGAAATGTCAACCGAAATTCCGAAATGCGTTTTCGTTTCGAAAAGATTAATTAAGTGGTGCTGTAAAAGTAGCCAGCCTGCAACAAAATTCTATAATATTTCAGTTACATCAGGATGCCGGTTTTCGAACGAACTTCCTTTCGGCAGCATGCAAAAACCACACTCTGTAAAAAATGACTACTTATGTAGCATGAATTTTTCTCCTTGATTTTCGATGCCCCTAGATGTCCAATTATATTTCATGGAAAACGTGCATAAAAATATTCATTCTTTTTCCCACTCGGTAGACAATTACATTTTGTTCCAATCTTATACTCGGAGGAAGGGCATAATTCGGTTTTCGGAGACTTTTTCAATTCCCGAATAATTTTGATCCCGCTCTACCGTTACACTTGGATTCAGGGTTTCCAAACTACAAGCAATGTATTTTTCGCGTACGGAAAACCACACATTTCTCTACGGTAATAAGAGGAGACCATATGGAGCTCATAAAATTAAGCAGTGGATTTGACCCATATTGTTAACTTTACAAGCCGCATCGGCAAATGCAGAGACATGACGATTTATGAACGGCCTTTTTACTGTATTTATAAGTCCCACAATTAAAAACTTTTTTCAAACCGAATTATGGCCCTCCTTCGAGTATAAAATTAGAAGAAGATGTAATTATCTACTGAATGAGAAAAAAATAAATATTTTATGCATGTTTTTTAGGAAATATAATTGGACATTTAGGGGCATTGAAAATCAATGAGAAAAATTCATGCTACATGAGCAGTCATTTTTACAGAGTGTAGTTTTTGCATGCTGCCGGCACCCTGAGGTAACTGAAATATTATAGAATTTTGTTGCAGGCCGGCTACTTTTACAACCCTACTTAATTAATCTTTTCGAAACGAAAACGCATTTCGGAATTTCGGTTGACACTTCATCAGTTAGCCCACCTACTGTAAGGTGTAAACCGTGCAGGTGTGGTAGGGCACATCATGCAATTGGCGACTCCACCAAACGGTCCTTAGCTGGGACCCAACTCTCGCCCGTTGCGTAAAGAAGCTGAACTCTCCCTATCAGCCAAACCCCAACAACAGCCTCGACCAACGAGCTAGACAGATGAAGGCACCCGGAGTTGTAGGTGTTCCCACAGGAGGTTATTATGCCCCTTTCCAATTCTCCCTCCCCACCTCATTTTCAAGAGGTCCTGCGGAGTGGATAACAGACATGCCCAGGCTAACTCGGATCGCTCTCAACTAAACAAAGCTGTGGACCATTGTGGAGTTCCCCGGCCGTCTGGGATGTCTTGGCAGCCCCTAACTCATGAAACGTTAACCGAATTTCTGAAACGTGTTTTTGACTCAAAAAGATTACTTTAGTAGCATTGAAATATCAATCATCTTGCAACGTAATTCCAAGATAATTCAGTTACTTCAGTATGCCAGCTTTTTATTGAACTTTTTTTCGCCTGCCTGCAAAAACTACACTCTGTAAAAATGACTACTTAAGTAGCGTGTATTTTTCTCATTGCTTTTCGATGCCCTCATAAATTCAAACATATTTCATGGAAAACATGCGTCAAAATATCTCTTCTTTTAGTTCTTTAGAAGAAAATTACGTCTTTTTTAAATTTTACATTTAAAGGAAATGTATCATACGGTTTAACAAAACCTTTCCGACTCCCAAATATTTTTGAACCGGATCTGCCGTTACACTTGAATTCGGGGTTTCCAAACTGCAAGCTGTATACTTTCCGAGTATGATAAATCATACATTTTTGTACGTTAATAAGAGGAGGTCGTACGCGGTTTGTAAAATTTTGCAGTGATTTTGAGCCATATTGTAAATTTTACAGGCATCTATAGTAAACGCAGAGGCATGGTTTTTCGTGAACGAACATTCCACGGTCTTAAAAAATCTCATGGTTAGAAACCTTTTTAAAACAGAATTATACCCTTCCTTTAAGTATAAGATTTAAAAAAGGCCTAATTTTCTACCAAATTACCGAAAGAATAACTATTTTACATATATTTTCCAGGAAATATATTAGAATTTATAAGGGCGTCGAGATTCAATGAGACAATTACTGCTACTTAAATAGTCACTTATACTGAGTGTAGTCTTTGCGGGCGGCCGGAAAGAAGTTCGTTCAAAATCTAACTTCCTGAAGCAATAGAATTATCTTGGAATTATGCTGCAAGATGATTGATAGTTGAACCCTACTTTAGTAATCTTTTCGAGTCGAAGACGCATTTCAGAATTCCGATTAAAATTTCATGAGTTAGCACGTCTATTGTATTTGGGAATAACATTGCTACCACCTCGCAGGGGAAGGGGCCAGCAGAGATGGCCAAAACAAATGCCGGGGTCGTGTCATTCGTATGCAGACCATGACTTTTAGATGTACAAATTAATTTAAATGCAATCAGACAATCAACAACCCACGTCCTCCATTCTACTGGCTACTAGAGCGAATCCGCTTATTCTTGCGGCCTAGAATGTTCATTTTCTGTTAGACAATCGGCTGAGCGACCTGCCGGAAAGGTGGACGGCGCTAGTGCTTCGAAAACTGGCGCACTACAAGGTGGACATCGTTCACCTCAGTTAGACCCGCTTCCCCGAGCACGACCAACTGAAGGAGGGGTGTATCGGCTACACCTTCTTCTGGAGTGGTCGCTCCAAGGCAGAGCGGCGAGACGCGGACGTCAGCTTTGTCCTCCAGAACGACGTCGTGCGACGATTGCCATGTCTGCCGCAGGACGTCAACAACCGTCTTATGAACCTGCGCCTGCCTCTTTGGGAGCCAAGTTCGCCACCATAATCAGTGTCTAAGTCCGCTCCCCTCTCCGCAATATTCAGCTCCGACGAGGTAAAGAGCAATTTCTACAAGGACCTGCACCCCTCCTCCAAGCGACTGTGTCAAAGGCGGACAATATGATTGGCCTCAGTGATTTCATTGCCGATGTCGGAATCTACCACGCTGCCTGGGAGTGTTGGGTCCTCATGGTCTCGGCGGCCGTAAGGGTAATGATCCTCTGCTCCTGCGAACCTGCGTAGACCACCGTCTCCTGCCAACCAACGCATTCTTCTGTCTTCCGATGCGGAAGAAGGCAACCTGGATGCACCAACGATCGCGGTGTTGGCAGCTGCTGGACTGCATTCTCGTCAGGATGCGACGTAAAGAGGACGTAATGAGAACCAAGGCGATCTGAGACGCCGGAAATGGGAAGGATAGTCGCCTCGATATCTCCAAAATGGAACTCCGACTGCAGCTTCGCAGGGAACTACAAGGTAAGCGACCCTCAGGTAAGTTAGATACCGTTCGGTCGTAGTCGCCTGCTTACCGCTTCGATTTCAGCAACCAACTGACCTGGTGACTGGGTGACATGCACGCGTCGGACGAAAATGCCGCCGTAAAGACATGGTGGTGTCAACTACAAAACGCCATCCACCCCAAAGGTTTGGGCGTCCTTGGTCGTGCACGGCGTCAGCACCAGGAGTGGTTTGACGACGACGGCGGCGACGACGACGACGACGACGACGACGGTGTAGATATCCGCAACCTCTTCGCCGAAAGAAACAGACTGGCGCAACCAAAGCGACCTCCTTCAAAAATCGCGCCCTTGTGCAGCAATGGCTGCAGGAGATGCAGGACGTCCGTATTGATCTCAGGGTAGAGGAAATCCTGGGCTATGCGGACCGCAATGAAGCAACGAACTTCTTCGCATCAATTAGGGTGGTCTGCAGCCCTACAACCAAAGGAAACGGACCACCGTGCAGCTCCGATGAACCAACACTCCTCACGGGGAAATCACACATCCCGTAGCGCTGGGCCAAACACTTCAAAAAGGTCCTCAACCACCCCTCCCCCCCACCTATACAATCTCCGACGTCGTCATCTACTGACTACCCCAAGTGGGAACGAATGCTGACCTAGATCTCCTCGAATAAATGTCAACAGCAGCCAGCCCAAAACCGTGGAAAACTTTGCCTATCTAGGAATCACACTCTTGCGTGGCAAAAAAATCGATGACGAGGTTGTCCATCGGATCTCCAAAGCCAGCCATGCCTCCGGCCGTCTACAAGTTTCCGTGTGGAATCGCCACAAACTTCAACGGCACACGAAACTCGTGAAATACAAAACTGTCATTTTGTCAACACTGCTGGATGTAGCAGGGACCCAAATAGTTTACGAGGAACAAGCGCGGAAACTAAACGACTACAATCTCTGCTATCTTCGAAGAATGCTGAGGCTGAGGTGGCAAGACAGAATGCCTGGAACGGAAGACCTTGAACGAACCGACCGGCCTAAAGATGTGCAGCGAAGACTGAAACAGCAATCTACGAAGCCGACCGGACCGCCACTGCCAAATCCAAAGGGATGGCTTGCAAGTCTTAAGCGCATCCAACCAATAACGTCCACACTTAACCTCCGCCAATATGTTCAGTCTACCAACGAACATTCGACCTCATCGGTCATCTCCGCTCTCCATGCAATAACGGCACCAGAGATCCATCGGCTGCCTCCACAAACTACCCATCTTCACCGCCGCTGATGTCGTAAACCAACACTATCACCTCCGTCATCTCTGCCACAACAGCCTCGACAACGTGGACGACGACTGCCACCTCTCCGACCCCCGCCACCAGTCAGAACACTCTCGACACTCTGCAAGCACCACCCTGATTGCCACCGTCCGCACCGCTAGCAAACCAGACTCGTTCCGATCCAACCTTCAGATCACGCATTGACCTGACCGGTCATTAGTAAATCCATTGCAATGAAAGCAGTGTACCAAAGCAGGGAACCCTAGCAATCCCTTGCCGCACCCGCCGCCACCACTGCCGCCGATTCGGCCGCAAAGGTATCCGAGGCAACGGAATTAACTGCAATGACGCCATACCAAACCCACCTAGCACATTCACCAGCTCTTCTATCTCCAGCACTACTAACTCCTTATCCATCGACTCAGTTATCACAAGCAGTACCACAGGTGCAACAGGCTGTGAAACTCCAAACCTATCCTGCCCATATGGTCGCCGCGTATGCTCCTCACGCACAGGCCTAGTCGGCCATTTGCAGATCCATCGTCTTGACATTGGCAAACCAGTGTCTGCAGCAACAGCACTCATCCGTCGCCATAGCCCCAACTGCCGCACTGCCCACGCACATATAGACATTGTATGGGCCTACCCAGTCACATGAGCTGTCAGGCTAATCAGCGGTAAACCCCCCCCCCTCCACCGCCCACACGAACCCCTCCCACGTCACTTACCCAGTGCAGGCATAAACAGTCACCTTCCCCCCCCTCCCGATCTTCGACTCCTTTTCCTTGTGGTAACCGTGGACATGTGGCGTGAAATTATTGTTTTGTGGGTGCCAGGCCGTGTATGTGACATGCACAGATGGGCTTTTCTTTTGCTCTGTTAGCCACTTCTCTTAACCCCAGCACCAATTGGCTAACAGGCTCGGACAGTAGTCTAGTGCACGGGAGAAGGAATACGAAGTGAAATTCCAGTGCATTTTCCTTACTATCAACCAGCTGACGAGCACCAAATCATCACAAAGTGTCAAAAGTCGTGGCATGGAAGACTGCTAACTGATGGACTAACTCAGTCCACCTTCCAGAGGTGAGAGTCAGGCGGCAACGGCTCACTCTTAATGTGACCCTTACGAAACTCCAACTCAGTTGAAATCCAGAGCCGTCTTTCTTTTTCCTTGATGTATAAAATCCTTGTCAGCGTATGTTGTGGACCAGGGATGCGGCGGTCAAATGCTGTGTGGTCGACAAGATAAAGATTCCCAATCAAAAGTCTGGGAAGACGCTTTGAGTTGGAGAACCTTTACTGCCTGAGGAAGTGCGTCCACAAGGGCTCTGTAGGCAGTCGCCGCGAGCACGCTACAAGCAACCTGTTGTTGGTATCCGCCTTCGGGGTGTTGTCAGCGCGTGTGTGCGCCCTCCGTTGTCTCCACGTCCGCCAGCCAATCAGAGTGGGGACAGCGTTGATTGGCTTCGAGCACTCGCGAGGCTAGTGACGAGCCTCGCGCGTCCCAGCAGCGTATCGACAAGGAGTGTGAGGCGGACAGGACGGCAGCGTGACAAAGGCGGAGGGCGAGGAGACGCGAACTGCCACATGTGCGCCTAGGTGCGGATTTTTGTCGCGCCAACTATCTGTGTCCTCTCCCGACGGCGGTCTTATTGATTCTACTTTCAATCCGAGTCAAGGCGTGTAAGGGAAGAACGAGTGCGGCAGACCCAGGGCAAGTCTTTCATCACTATGGACTACCTCAAACGCAAGTTACCGTACCTACGTCCGCTCCACTGTGGGACGTCGTTGGCAATTACGGCCGAAATGTTAAGATCCGTTATATGAAGTGTCATGAATTGAGTCAGTGTTAAAAGTGTGAAAAATGGGGATCATTTAAAGGGTTTCGTTATTCTTAGATAGTTAGAAAAACTTGTATGTTCAACACTTTAACTGACAAAAATGTAGTAATAGAATAAAAAAAGTCCAAAACTTTTTTTATTTTTGAATTGCAAAGGGAGTTTTGGTTGCCCTGTGTTTGGGTTGATCGTCCCGCGGAAACTGGCTTAAAAAAAACAACTGGCGCACGTCGCTGACGAGAAACCCGTTGTTGGTCTGCAGAAGTGAATTCTCTTTCTTTGACATCCTTGAACTGGGATGGGCGCTGGCTTTTTATGGTAATTTTATCTAGGGAACCAACCTTTCAGCTGGTCTTAATTATGCTTACCATCATCCATAATCTTTACTTGTGATAGTTCGGCCATCCCGGACAACGATGTCCGTAGTGCTGTAACTAATGCTCTCTTTCTTCTAGCCTCTGGTGACAGACAAATGCGACCACGGAAGGAACCATTGAGTCTGACCCTGCATTCAGAGAGGACCCAGATGCCAAGTCAGATGGCAGCCTTCGGGCTCCCGTTTACAGGTCCGGAACGCCAAGTGGTTCAACGTGAGTTGAGACTCTGAAAGTGGTATAACTTCATTGCAAGTGACCATACAGCAGTTCAACCGTCGCAGCCGCCGATGTCCACCATCGCTGTCCTTGTTGATAGTCATTTTTGCGTCACTACTCGTCGATGGACGACTGCCTGTGATTGTTCTACATTGGGCTCCAAAGTACAACGAGTGGAGCATTTTCCATAACCTGCGCGGTAGACAACCCTCCAGTCGTGCTTTCCCTTTGTCCACAATGCGACGGCACACTTCAGTTATACATCAGTCAAGCCTGTTGATTGCGTATCCACTGCACCGTGACCACAAAACCATCTCCTGCGACCCATGTACACACACGTCATGTCCACCCACCCTGTCTAAAATGTTCCTACACATTAAAACATCACACGAACCGAGCTGGTCACAGTTAACACCACCGGCCAAGCATCCCTCACCCCATCGCCCATCAACACACACCTAAATCTATTTGCCCCACTGGTCAGTTGGATGCCGACATGAGTTCATTGGGCCAAAGGGAGCCTGCATGGGCTTCAAATTACGGTCATCTGCGCTTGTGGCATGTCCATTCCTCTCGCCAGTCCATTGGCAAACTCAGACAGTTGACAGATGCGTAGGAAGTGAAGAGAGTGGGAGTCACTGTCATTGGAAAATCCATCGACACAGCCAATCAGCGCAGCCCTCGCTAATAATCAGTCTGACACCATGGAATCTACCACGGTGCGCTAAGAGCCCTGACTTGGAAGGCCGTCAACTGACAGGGTAACTGGCTCCTTCTCCGGACTGAGGGTCAGTCTGCAATGGCTCCTTCTTAATGTGATTTCCATGGCATTCCTACCTCGTAGGCCTGTTAGAATGTGGCCTGTAGCAGTCTTAACGTCGGAAGACTGCGGGTTTACGAAAAGAGACTGAGATAGGTTCGGCGCAAGTCTGCTTTACTACCGACATTTCGACCGTCGTATCCTACGATGTCCACTGTGTGCTCCACAGCAAGGCGAGAGCGGGCACGGTGACCTGCACGTTAATTAGTTTATAGTGAGAGTAGACTTGCGCATCATCGACCACACTCACCCCTCCTACCCCCATATGGACCCGGTGTCAAGACAGATTCAAGAAGACCAGAGGTGGAGGAGGGTGCACGGGGGTGACGCGACCGGACCAGCACCTAGGCGCTCCATCACACCCCCTGGTCTACGAAAAACAATTTAACCAACAATCACAATAGCACCACAACGGGTCAAAAAGACGACGAGGATGACTGGGCAACCATGCACGCACGACCTGTATACCCAGTGAGGGCGCAAGCACATCTGCCGTCAGGGAAACCGGGCGCTAGAGAACTGCCAGCGTACACCAGCTTGTAAGGGCCACGGTTTGCCGAATAATGGCATAGTAGACGCTCACAATCCG